AAGCCACAGGTTTGACTTCATATACACTTCACCTTCCAAAATCTCATTTGAATCCGTAAGGTCCTGTCATGACACAAACACTGCATTTTTCACAATACAAACAAAACAGACACAAAGGCTTCAGCCCCAGAAAGACCATGACTGAAAACAACTACAGAACCTACACAAGATACATCCTTCCCCCAGAAGAGGAGAAGACTAGTTTAAATGTAGAAAAGCATCAGAGAATCAAATTAAGATGGATGATGTTGCCAGCGGTGTGACCATGAAAAAAACTAAAAACAAAAACGTGGCAGGTGTAAAGTAAGTGGAAAAAAAAAAAACACTTCCTGCAGACCATACAAAATTAAACTTGCCAAATCCATCAACTGCTATAGAGAAAGAACTGTGAAAAGCTTATTGTCCTGGTTCTGGCTCTGGTAAGCAGGAGTGGGTGTGGCCAAGACTCTAATGTTATTAGAGTGACATCATATTCAGGGAGCAGGAGAGGGACACTCTCACTCAAGGACAAGGAGTGTTCCTTTGTGGTAGGGGAGAAGTGCAGCAGGCTTAGGGTTTGCCATTGTTTTTCACTGTCCCAGGCTTGGTGAGCATTTTGCATGTAAATCACTCTCTGAGAACTTCTGTTATTAGTATTGTTGCTGTTACCGTTTTCTTATCTCATTGCTCAATGTTCTTATCTCAACCCATGATCTTTGCCTTTTGTGCCTCCAATTGGAGGAGTGTGGGAGGGGAAGCAGCAGCTGTAGTTTTACCAGGAGTTCTAACTTGGAGAATACCAGACAGCCTTAACTGTCCCCAGCGTGGGCACAAAGGGCTGGGATAACAACAGATCTGCCCAGAGCGAGATGGAAACAAATTTCATCCAGGCATTTGTGTATTAAGTACAGAGCCACTAGTCACAATGTTGTTGTTCTGTCTCTTCATGTGGGTGTGATAACTAACCCTGTACATATTCCCCTATGAGCTTCTTGCAGGGATCTTTTTCAGAGCAGGGAGACGTATCAGGATTGCTCTGTCAATGTACTGCGTGATATCAGTTTTGGTATGGTAACACAAAGGGAAATGAGGGTCATTTGGGATTGTATTCAAAGTTGCTCTCCTGCCCTGGCCTTGGTTGCTTCTTCTGGCAATTCATAACAATGGCACCCAGCCTGTGGGGGGAAGAGGGGAGGATGATTTTCCCCAGCCTTTCACCCCTTTTCCCCCTTCAGCCTAGTTGCAACAGCTTTTGAGAATTTTTAACTTCCTTTGGATGTTAAAGAAAAGTATGGTTTTGTTGCTAAGTCTGCCAGGTCTCTTCAGTGCAGTCCACAGCATATTTAGAGTCAAGAAAGAGATTTCTAGGAAAGTCATTCAGAGATCTGCCCCGAGAGTCAAGGAGTCATGAGTGGCATGGAATGCGGGAGAAAATGGGCCAGTTTTGGGGGAAATTCTCTGCTCCAATGGTCTGGAAGTTCACCCCTGAACAACAACAGGACCCTGTTAAAGTGACAGAATATTTGCAAGGAAATGCTGGGCCAACTCCAGAGAGAAGCAATTTACTGCAGTGTGCTGGGCCCTGGCCCTATTTATGGTCACTAGACACGACCCTCAGGAGGAGGAGGAAAGCAGACCAACAGATACCATGTTTACTCAAACTGCTGGTGAGCCAGAGGAACGACTTATGCCAGCAGCAGTTGCTCCTATACAGAATAAGAAGTCCAAGATAAGAAGCAGGGCCCTTGTAACAGGAGGAAGAGGCAGGGCTACAGATAATCACTGGCTCCCTATCCCTGCGTGAGCTGCAAGATACGCAATAAGATTTCAGCTGCTAGTCAGGTGAGGCCCTGCTGACCTGGCTGCTCCGATGCTGGGATATCGCAGCTCATGATATGACACTAGACAGTAGTGAAGCCAAGAAACTGGGATCCCTGTTCTAGGATGTGGGCATGGACAAAGGGACTAGGAAGACAAGCGTCTCTCAGCCTCTGGAATTGACTCCTGTCAAGCAGGAAGGAACATATTCTCTTAAGAATGGTCTAATAGTGCGCTCAAGTAGGTGGAAGACCATGGAAAAAGTTATCCATTTCCTGAGATAATCAGCTGTGCTGGAGGTAATCTACATGGATTCAAATAATGAGCAGTCCCCTGTAGATCCAGATGAGGTCCAGTGTCCACAATCCATGTGGTGCAAGTTTGTATGCAGCGCATCATCATCATATGCCAACTCATTGACATCACTGGCAGTGACATCAATGAAAGAAGAACAAACAGTGCTCCAGTGACTATCCAACTCTGGCAATATGGTGATCTTTTCTCCACCCTACCAACCTACACCTTGGCTGTGTAAAGACTGTCCATGTGACCACAGAGAGGACAAGAGGAAGGGGGATGAAAATCCACCTCTGTCCTAGCAGATGGGTACGTGAGTTGAGAGGAAGAATCACCACCAAAGGGAATTCTTCAAGCATAAATGCTGCTCTAGTTTCCAGTGAGCAAGTCCTCTAATAGAATAAAAGGGCTGATGTTACTTCTGATCCTCTTAAAAGGACTTCCCAGTCATATTTACAAGAAGTGAGCAACAAGTGACCAGAACTAAAATAGCCTTGCCTCCAGCCAGGTAGAGGAAACGGACAGTCGGATCTATTGAACTGTGTGGGGCTGATGGCCTGGCACATCAGACCTACAAGAGTGTAACTTTTACTGGACATCAGCACACAATGTACCTTGATGCCATCAAGACATGCAGGGGCAGAATCCATCTCTATTTCTGGGGTGACACAGGATACCCCACAGCAAACTGTGCTGGAAGCTGAAATGAGCCTGACTAAGATGGTTTTCTCCAGCAAAGACACGTTAACACTTGTGTGTTCACTCTGCCTGCTACTGGAGTAAGAGAACAAGGAAGCAAGAGAAATACTGTCAAAACCATAGGGTAAATTCACCAGCACTTTCCAGGAAATTACTGCAGATTCCTTAGCAGAGCCTTGCAATCCTCAGGAAAGCCTGAAACACAATATTGAAAGAAAGATTTATCTGTAGTAGTTTGAAATTAACTAATGCAGTATGATTAAGTTTGAAAAAAATAAAGCAAGTCCACAAAGGGCTTTCATTATCTGGTTCAGAGGCAGAAATAGCTCTCATATGTGGTTCAGACACAAAAGGACAGCAAAGGCTCAGTGGGTGATGTGTGGAAAAAAATCAGAGCATTTCTGAGAAGAGAGGAAAGCTAATTCTGTGGCTAGGGTGAAGATAACTATTTGCTCCTGTGAGAAAGCCAGGTGGTAAACTCCAAAGACACCACTTCAAGTGAGTCTATGTACAACTTATCGACATACAGAGGTGCAGATGTGCAAATAACTGGATTCCTGAACCATGAGACCTCTGAAGTATAAGCTTGCACTACTGTACACTAACAGCCTTACTTAGTCACCACACTACAGAACTTCCAGAAATCAGTCACCATCTTTTAAATGCCTACTTTCTGATGCTTAGCTTCCTTCCCAGAACCCACACTTCCTGGGTGCCTGCCCAAGGCAAGGCAGTCCCAGGCACTGTGAGACAGTGGATTGCTGTATTAATTATTGGCTCAGACCAACCCAAGTGTATCTCTGTAGGGGAAGAGACAGGTTGAATGCCACAAAGGTGAGGTGATGCCCTGTTCCCCATCTCAGCCCCTTCAGGCCTTCAACAGCCCCAGAGCAGCTGTGAGTCACTGGCACACCAGAGCACTCCTCCACACCACAGCCCAGAGCCCCTAATCCAGCCCCAGGATGACTGGTACACTGGATGTCCCACCTGGGGGAGGGTGGCCACAGTGGGCCAGAGCAGACAGAACCAACACCGTGCGGCCATTGTGTGGTCACGGCCCTGCCATCTTCTGGACTCTAGGTAGTTGGATCTGGAGTGGTAGCTATACTTCTCTTCTTTCTCTCTCTTTACTTCTTCTTCTCTTAATCTTCTTTACTGGTATTTGGGTACTTACAGCTGGATGGGTTGGATTTTGCTAAGTTACATGAGTTAGCATGTGCTAAGTCAATGCACTGTGGAATGCTTTTTTTTTGTTGAATGTTGCCCTTTAGAAGGTTGCCAAGTTCCCTTATTTTCTAAAATTTGCCACAAAAGTGTGTTATTTGACCTCCTGAGAAACGTGTGCAGTGTCTTCTCCTGTACGCTCTCTAAGGGCTTTTATCAGGGGTTGTTGATATTTTTGGCCTCTGTTTGGCTCAGCCACCTGCAAAAGTTTGGTTGTCTGCCAAGTTCACTGATAAACTGGAGCTTCATACTTGGAGAGACAGTTTCTCGTATAAAGTGTTTTAATTGCTGTTTTGTGATTGGCTGGTTGTCTGTGGAGGACATCTGAAGGAAAAACTGAAGAGGAGAGGATGAAGTAAAGCCCCCAGACCCAAACAGATAAGACCCCTTGAGTGAAACAGCACAAGTGCGAGGGGAATGCAGCGCTGAAGGGGTGCACTCACATAACTGGGGAAGGACTGAAGGCCTCTGGCTGGGCAGTGCTGCCACACTGGCCCAGGGAGACGTCACCAGCTAATTGGATAAAAATGCAGGTGGCTCATGCTTGGGGCTCTCAAGCTTCACATGAAGGACAACGTTGCCTTTTGCGGGGGCGCCTGCAATCTTTGTGAGCCTGCTGACCCTCTGAGGATGCAGCCTCTGCTATGGGGAATTCTGGTTATCCTGGGGTTGGTAAGACAACCTCGTAAAACACACCTGCGTGAGTGGGGCTTTCACTGAGGCTCCGTTCTTGTCTCTTGGGTTCCCATTTACTTGGCCACTTTTTGTAATAAATATTGGGTTTATTGTTGAGCTCTCAGCAGTGTCTTGGTTTTCAATCTCTGCATTCTTTCGAACTCACCTGTTCCAGGGCTTTAAAGGCTCCTTCTAATAGATCCAGCGAGTAGACTTCTGGAGCCTTGTACACTTTTGAAGTAAAACCCCTTCAATGAGCTTGTACTTTGAACCTGCAGTCTTACAGGCGCCCCTGTGAATGCACTTACCTCTTGCTTTTGACTCCGAGGAGGAGGGGATGTCCTCAGAGGTCAGGATTTGGGGAAGGCACATGGGAGCACCAACTCCCTGCCCCAAGTAGGAAGCAGGTGGGTAGTAGGAACACATGCGGTACTGGGAGCTGACAGTGTGGTGTCTCTCCATGCCCTTCACCTGTTGGAGTGAGAGAAACACAACAGCAACCTGTGAAAGCCAAGCCCCAGTAGCACAGGGGCACCCCACTGAGCCACACCACGCATATGGCTTTGAAGGAGGTCAGAGTGGTAAGTAAAATCCTGACATGCTGGCCTTGGGTTTTTGCTTTGGTGGGTTCACAGTGTGCCACACCGATCAGCTACAGGGGAGCTGGCATGGTATGGGATGTGACCTATCAGCAGCAGCGTCTCTATGGCTGTTTTACGTTACCACAAATGAAGCTGCACACAAGCACGTACCCTTCACCACAAGCAGCTTCCTCTCAGGTCCCCTACTCACAGCACAGAAAACAAGTGTTCCAGACCCCTTTTCAACTGCATGCACCTAGCCAGCATCAGAGGTGAAGTGTTCATGTAGTTCCTACACCTCCCGAGAGACTAACCCACCTCAGTCTGGTGGTAACTGTTCTGCCAGAGACCTACAGGGTGGCTAAGGAGGACAGTCCTACTGACTGTCTCACACAGGACATGCTCCATGGCATCTGAGCAGTGACAACACAGACACACACACTATTTTTGTTACAACACTGGGAGATGGGAAAAATATTTTCCTGAGTTATCCAGAGAAAGCAAGCTGTGGATAGACTACATAGGAAGACAGTAATGGAGCCACAGCTAGGCACCAGCCACCTGGTCTGCCATGTCTACCAGACAACCCCCTTCTCCCTCCTGCAGACCGCAGCAAATTGGCAACACTCACAAATTAAAGTTTATCCGACCCTAACGTCCTGAAATTATCCAAACTGATTGAGGTGAACAGTAACGCTGCTTTGTGTTTTACGGAAAAACTACCAACTTGTTGCAAAGGCCTCCAATGCAACATGGTACTCCAAAAAAGGCAGCCAAAGACTTTATAACATTAACATTTTCAACATGAAAGGCAAATAGCTGGTCTCCCTAAGTATGCTGGCAGTGAATAACTGTAAGATAGCTTCTTGGCAGAGACAAAATAACGCAGTTTTGTACCAGGTGAAATGGTATCAGTGCCAACAATAATGCACATCCAGCTATGCTACTACACAATGTCTTTGTAAGCAGACATGCTTGTCAAGCCTCTTCAGCCACCTCTCACCTCAGCTGGAGGAGCTCTTGCCTGCTCACTACAGCTCCCTCAGGTACCAGCCAGCTGCACCTGCAGCCCTGCCCCTAAGCCCTTCCCAGGCTGCAAAGCTCAGACATGGAGCAGCAGAGGCAGGGTGTGAGCCTGCTGTACCAGATGGCCACCCCACACCAGCAGACCTCCAGGGGCTGGTCCTGGCAGTAGGAGCCACCAGCATCTCCCAGAACCAGAATGCAGTTATCCCTTGTTTTCCAGGGATCCCCTTAATAGTTCCGTATTAATTCCAGCCTAGCTGGAAATAAAACGGCTCAAGCCACAAAAAATGCTGCCGGAGCTCTCTGAGGCAGATGGCAAGAGCCAGCTTTCTTGGTGGAGGCAGGTTTGCAGTGAGATTAGGTACTGAGAGACAGAGAGAGAGAGAGAGAGAGAGAGAGAGAGAGAGAGAGGGAAGGAGACAGAGAGAGACAGAGAGAGGGAAAGGGACAGAGAGAGAGAGTGAGGGAAAGAGAGAGACAGAATGGTGGCTGTTCACACAAAGCAAAGTGCATCTCTGCCTGTCTTCTGTCAGCAGCACAGTCTCACATACTTACACATGTACTGAGGAATCAGCAGAACTTGCTTTTAGTTTGTGAAAGTTAAGAGTTCTTCTACTACAAATAAAAGCAATACTTAAAATTTTTATTTTTCTACCTCTGCATGAAGAAAAAGTTCAACATGCACTGAAGTTTCATCTATAATAAACAGTAAATTGCTGTTTAAAAAATTAACATGTCATGCTGAAGAAGCCTGAACTCAAAAAAACCACTGGTATCCCCTCTCCTCTTCCAACAAAACGCACTCTTCACTTCAGAAGCAGACTTCCTCAACAAAACTCAGGCTGCCTCTGCCCTGAAATTATGAATTAGTAACACAGATTGCCCAAAAGCACAGTCCAAAGGGCATATTGAACCTGCACATCTACAAAAATCAACAACTCTCAAAGTACTGGAGAAAAAAAGTTAGCCAAATCCTCTCTGCCTGCTGTATTGCATACACAGTTTTTTGTGTGTTTTCCTTCCCTTGGTGGGCAAGGCTGTGGGCAGCACCCACAGACCTTCTGTCTCCCCCTCTCCCTTGTTCAAGAGCATGTCTACACACATACAACAGAGAAAAGGTTGCCTGCAGCAGACAAAACAGCTGTAACTAAATGGAAGGATTATTCCCTGGCACCAAACTGATCATTCACATTTCCCTTCCCTGTAAAGTGGGTGCAGTGACTCGTCTCCTTTCAAAGCATTTTTTAGAGGTTTTCTGCCTTTCTCTAAGAAACAGCTCACCTAAACCATCTAGATGCAATGAATTATTACTACTATTATTATTAGTGTGTGGTATCTGGCTAGCAAGAGACATGTTTTATAATCTTATTACCCACACCAAGTCTATGAACCACAGTTCGATCAACAGCTAGAGGCTTGGCTCTGCAAAGAATATGCTGTATATTAACCGCTGAAGAAATCTAAAAGCTTTTGGTTTTGTTTTATTAAACAGTTTAGAATACATATCACAGTAAAACAGAACCATAAGGTTTCCTTTTTATAGTGCTTAGCAATCCTATTTTACAGTAACAATAAAAAAACAACCAGCTGTAAAAATTCTTGACCTTAGCGCTGCATTAAAAATGGGTAGGAGACCAAAACCTCATGAGAAGGGACATTTGCTCTGTATTAATTTCTGCAGCTCTGCAGTCCTGTATTAATTCCCTGCATGTTTCTGGGTGCTAAAAAGGGAGATAAAAACAGCCCTGAGGAGGCACCGGAATACTCAGATTATTTCCAACGAGGGGCAGTTCAGCCGTCCAAGAGCTGCAATCAGGTACCAGGTTTGGGATACTGCCCTGCATCTTGTCCAGGGGGAATGCTGGGGTCATGCAGGGATCACAGGGGAGAATGCCTGGCCTTCTGGTGTCTCCTTCTGCCTTCCCCACTCCTTCCAGCCCCACAGCAAAGCCAAGACAAGTATGGGTTGGGATAGTCCCACAAATCACTCTAATTTGTATCACCACAGGCTATGTGCTATAAAAATGAGGTATATTTTAGGTAGGCAAGTGCTGTGGAAGGGAAGGGCATGCACTGCTCTTTGCAGAGAGCAAGCTGACCTCCTAAGTTGCTCCCCTTCCCAGCCACCCACTGCTTGTACCCTGCCCCAGCTGTAGGATTCACCAAATGCCTCACTGACTTCAGTGGGAGACACACATCACCAGAGCAGCACATTTGGCCTGTTTGGAATTTCCAGGTTCCTTTGAATTGTATTACATGGCACACACTCAGTAGCGTTTTAAAAGATGTACTGCAAGCAACAGTGAGAAGCTTAAAATTCATGAACAAATAAATATGACCTGATTAAAAGACCATGCATACAGTGGAAATTCCTTCCCTGTGCCTTGTAAAGTCAATACGAGCAACTGAGAGGCAGCTACAGTTTGCCCAGGGACAGAAAAAGCTGGAAACAAGACTTGTTCATTACTGAGCAAAACAGTCAGTGCAGCCCTACAGCTATGTCCAATGGTGACAGAATACACAGCAAAAGCCAGGGAAGTCCAAGTAAAATTCTCTCACATCAGCCCATTCCTGCAAAAAAGCTTTCTCAACAGCTGATGGAAAAGCATGTAAAGCCCAGCTCCTCTTTCCAAGCTCCTGACAGCATCTGCATAACCTCTATATATCTTCTTCACAGAGAAAGAGACGAGGAGGAGGAGGTGGCCAGATGAGAGAGAGAGAAGAGTCAAAGCAGGCACAAGTGGTGACTCAGTTACCTCGACAGACTACTAAATGGTCCTGCCCTCCCCAGATAATTAATTTAGGCAAAGCATCACCTGGGTAATTCTTTTATTTGCAGAAACTGCCAGACACAGTCTCCTTGAGAGCAAGCCAGTGTTATTTTAGCAGCATCTCTACATTCTGCAGTTGATCCTGACTATTTCCAAGACGGACAACAAGCAAGAGAAGGTCATGGATGCTACCTCTGGGTGACAAGGGCTGCAAAAATTTCAAACCAACAGAGGAGATCAAAGTGCAATCCTTCAGCTCTGCCACTAGTGTGCCACATGATTCTGGTCAAATCACTGTACACAGAATTTCCATCCTCCTGTCTCACCCATGACTCACCAAGAGTTGCCCCAAACAAAAACTAGTAATTATGGAAAGACCAGAGAAACTCTCCTTCTGCCTTGATCTTAAAGCCATCTTTAGGGTGCATAACATTGCATTTATGTGCTGATGCTTGCAAACACAGGATTCACAGGTCAGATTTTGGCATGGGCAAGAAGGCATCCACTGGGCAGTGGAAATCCAGACATCAGGAATGGAAATCCAGACATCAGGAAGCTCCACTCTGTCACCTGTGTATACACCTGGCCGTATGACTGTGGCAAGTTATTTAACACTTCCCTGTTTCAGTTTCTGCATCTGTAAACCAGGGTTGCTGCTACTCTCCCACCTTGCAATGCTACTGCCCATGTGCTAACCCCTCACAACTACTACTTCACTCATGCTGCCCAAGGTGGCTTTGTTTCATTCCTAAAACCAGCTAAGCATATTGTCCAGCACAAGGGAAAAATGAGTCCATGATATCCTGCCTGGACTTACTTTGATTCTAGCACAGAAAATACAAAAGACATCTATATCTGTCCCTCCTTGATAGACAAACTTAATTAACCTTTGCTATTCTGTTCCAACCTATTCTTTTAGACAAAGGCAGTGACCCATAAACAATATGTTACCATCAGAATCTCAACTGCAGTGACACCTAGAGATATAGCTCCATCAGCAGTATTGGAAAATAAACCGCTTAGATTAGCTCCTCCAAGAAATACGGACTGCATTCATGTCACACATGAGCTGTCAGAAACATTAGGATACTTTTAGCATAAATCTGCAGTGTGAAGGGTATGTTATGAATACAGTATATAATACACTGCTTACACATAAAATTTGGATTGTCTTGGGTGACTTGCACAATGTGTATATATTTACACACACATGCACACATTTTCCACTGACTTTTGGAGAGTTAGACTGCACATTTCCGTAAGAGGGACAGGCTTTTTTAAAGAAAAACTGGGCCAGAAACTAAAAGCAGGTTGTAAAAGTTGAGAAGATCCATTCTTTTTTATTAGCAGGCAGCTATTTTTCAAACTGCTGGCTGTCTTATCACAGGAATACTTTTCTGGATTTAGTAAAGGACACTTTGTTAAGTCTGGTACTTCTAAGAAATCCCTACCAAACAGTTTCCTGTTTAGTATTCCTCAGCAATGCTAAATATTTCACTTCCAAATTGTAATTCCCACATTAGAACATGAGTTAAAATTTCTCACTCTGACTCTTACTGATATTTATTTTAGGTTTTAGCACTAAACCAATATAAAGAAAGAACAAAAAAGTTGAGGTTCTAGAAGTGAGAATACTGGTTTGCCAAGCTGCATTAGAAAGAAAAAAAAAAAGGCAGGGGAGGAGGGAAATTACATGAACTACACGAAATTCTGAAATTTGTCCAAAATTTCCACACCAGCCTTGAACTTTTTCTGAAGTAGGATCCCTGGAGTTATCAGAGTAACAAAGAAACAGTGCGGGACCACATTCTGCATCTTGCTGATTTTTAATGGCCTGCTTGTAAGAACCAGATGTTTTAAAACATAATTTTGGAGATGATGGTTACTTACAGTTGAGTCCAGATGATCCTTATGCTGTGGGTCACACACTAGCAGTTTCACTGCCAACTTAGGAAATCAAATCTGATTAGATGTGTATGCATCCATCCAAGTTTTACTTTTGTTGTGGCAGAAAAGACTGTCTGTAGTCACCCCATCATTTCCAATTGCTGTCTCTAAGCAGTTACACCACAACCAGTTTCAGAAGCACCAACTTTCAAGTACAACAGCACACAATGACTTGCAGTACTAATGTCAGTGAACACATTTTGCTGTTAAATGGATTGAATGAACACAAATTCCTGTTGTGATGAAGAACTGTGTGACTTTCAAGGGAAAGTCTAGATGCTCCCACAGAACTGAAGTCAAAGGAGATGTATGGTGACCATCAGATCTGCTACGTTTCCTCACCAACCTAAGCTTGTGTTTTCCTCAGGTGCAACATCAGACATATCTGATTATCTGCCTTAGAGCTGGCAAAAGCAGCAGAATATAAATGATGGAAGAGGTCTCAACCAAAACAATCATCTTCATTATGTTTATCACATCAGGATGGATACAGCTTCTGGTATATGTGTATACAAATGAACAAAACCTACACAAAAATATATAAAATATTTGCACCTCTATGAATCCAGTCAAGCATACAAGCCTCTACAAAGAACAAAGACTAATGAAATCTGACATTATACTACATTAAAGATTCAGTGATTCAGTTTATTTGCCAAGGCTCAATGATGCATTAATCCTCATCTCATCCCACACAGACTCACACGTTTCCTCCCTGGCTATTCTCCCTTGCTCCCTAAATTCTGAAACAGCAGACAGCTGGGCTGCTCAAGGCCTTATCTGCATCCAGAAGTTATCTTACTTTAAGTATGCAACTCTCTCTGGGTGGTTTTAGTTATTCCAGGATGAGTAAGCCTCCACCAAGTGAGTTTGGAAAAGCCAGGTATCTTGTCTACACATCCTAAACTACGATACCTTCCAGTGAGCACATCAGTGACTTCTACCAACAAAGAAACCTTCCTGTGAGCTCACACCTTAGCAAGCTACCCTAATTTCATTACACCAGGTACTGTCCAGCTATGATTTTTGGTCAAGAAATAAAAATCAAAAACTTTGGCCAAAACAGTTATACAATACCAGTCAGATAAGAAAACTGTTACTGGAGACTGGTTGAGAAAGCCTGTGCATGTAAAAAATAAGCCCAGTCAGTACAGGCAGTCCAACAAAAATCCCGGTGTAGGTAACAGCTATGCACAGGTTTGCCAACAAAACCTCCTGAAGGTGTAAGCAAGGTCTGATTCCTCTTTAAGGATCATGCTTTGAATGAAACTCTCCTGTAAATCCTTACTGTGCATGACAGAAAAACTAATTCATTATTCATCCCTCTCCATTTCTCCAATCTTCCCTTGACAGTAACCATCATGCACAAAATCCATTGAACCATGTGCAGCAGCTGAGAGCTTGTTCCCCTTACAACAAACCATCTTCAGAGCCACATAGTGTTTTACAACCTTGGCATCACTGCACCCACTGCCATCAAACATTTTCTAGTCTAGCCCTCATTAAAACTTTTTAAGATTGCTTGTGCAATGTTATGCTGTCGTAAGAGTATGTAAACCCTGAGATTCATAACTATTCCAGCACTAACAATCCTACTTGCAGACCAATGTCTGAGAAACAGCTTGTAATATACATAACAATGACCCTGAACTGCGCTCTGCCCTGCTGCACAGAAAAGGTGGGTCTCAGTTTTAGGCTGTTTAGAAGCTGGGAAGATGTCATTTCCACAGGCAGAAATCACCACCTTTAGTCTCTCTGCACGGACATCTCACTAAAACAGCACCGAGGGATCCCAAAAGGCTTAGCCTAGAGAAACTGAAATCTCAGGTGATGTAGATAAAATTTACATGGAAGTGAATGGAATCATGGCATACATCCCACAAGGAGGTAATGGACATCCAAAGCTTTGAGCCTGCTGGTGGAATGAAAACAGTCTTTTTTGACAATAACGATCTCTTTTTTCCTTACTTATCTCTTCAGTTTCTCACTAATTTGAGAGGCACTTAAGCAGAAATTAGTTAAGAGATTCTGCAGGGCCCCAAGAAAAAGATTAATGGAAACCACTCTATTGTTTTTATTTCTTTAAGAGGCATCAAAGGTCCCACAAGAAACAGGCAACTCACAAGTGAGACACAGACTCTCTAAACCAAGACTTCTTACACAAATGATAAAAACATGAGGACATCACATCTTCATTCCAAGGTTTAACATGATTTAGCATACCCTCATGTAGCTTTTCCTCTAACACTGTGCACTAGGTTAAGTGTGGGACTAGCAGCCAGCAAAAACATTATTTTCATAAGGTAAATGTTGCTGCCCTTCAATGGTGTTGTGATGGTGTCTCCAAGTATCTGCAAGTTAGGTACTGCAGAGGATTAAGAAGTAAACTTCTATCTGAAATACTCTGTGATATACCAGGTTAACCCAATCAACTAAAATGAAAAAGTTAAAAAAGAACTAGCACCTCACCTCGTTACCATGTGCAAAATCCTACAGCTTGCTCTCCCCCTGGTCGGATGAACAAATTCATCAGCTAGAGAGGATGCCATGAACTCGAAAGGTCTATCTATATGTATTTGAAGGTGACTGTGGTGAAGCCTATCAAAATCCTGAGAAAAGAAGGCTCTCCTAATGTGGGCTCACCCAGTAGAAGGAAGAGAGACAGCTCTTTATCCCATACAGCTGTCCTCATGGCAAAAAAAAAGGGACACGGAATAGTGCTAAATGCTATAGTAATTGTAATCACATTGGTGTTAGTTTCAGCTCCTCGGTATCAGAAGTTAAAATGCCCTTTCAGAGTTGGTCCCTGTGCCAGAACTGCTAGAGAAACTCTCTGACAGCAAAAGAGATGACCCATCTGTTCCTTTACAAAAGGAGGTTTCGGTGGACATTTCATCTTTCATTGTTGAGTGGTTTCACAACACAGCCTTTGCAGAAGCAGCCTGCCCTCTCTTGATGCTCTACAGAAGGGGCCTGCCCTCTCCTGTCCTTAAACAAGAGACAAGGCATACCCAGACTCAGAGGTATAGCCTCACCAATTTAATCCCGTCAGAAAAGCACCACTGCAGCCCAAACCCAAACAGTCTCAGAGTCATTGATATGGCTCCACTTACTTTGTCAAGAATCCTCCACACTGACAGATTTCCCCTTTTTCCAGTTTCTGACCGGTACTAAATTGGAGGCTACAATTATTAAGTTGTAGTGTGAGAGGGCTTGGTTAGCTTTATATCCCAACTAATGAAGTACACAGGGCTCTGAACCCCTCAGGCACTGCCTGTAACTTGAGCTACTCAAGTAAAAATCACAAGCACTGGAGCTGTCACTGCCAGAATACATAATTAATTAGCAATGTCCTGCCACATTCAACTGACAGCCACCCACCCACTGCACCAATAGCATGGTCTCCTGCTTCACTTTGGCACTTCGGATTTGAAAGATGGAAAATAATGTGCTTCTGAAGAGCAAAGCCTCTCAGAAATGACAGTTGAAGCTCCCAGGATGTTATGTTAGACAATTTGGCTGGACTCTCCTCCTGTAAAATAGTCCATAATCTACTACGATGTAATTCCAATGTAATTCACCATACTGTGAGTGCCCTTTGTGCTTGTTACAATCTACCTATACCATTGCCATTGCCCACCTATGTCACTCTGTTGTGCTGCGTCTTAACTACCCATTTAGGCTAACTTTCCTAAAATGGGTCTTAATCCCACCCTAGAATCTGGTTCTGGTTTTGCACTGACATGAAACCAGCAATGTAGAAGTCAGAGTTATGACCAATAAACAGCTTACTGTCCCCCTCTCTCTTCCACGTAACATCTCTGTAATGTCATTACCTGCCACTGTTTTCCTGACTGGCTTGGCATGTACGTTGCTGGGAGGCTTCGAAGGCTGTTTTTCATGGCTGACCCTACAATCGTACCCCCTGTCTCACTTGAGGAAGGCTCATTGGCCACCGCCATTTGGTACTGGGAGTAGTTGTACAGGTTGTTATAGCAAGGATACAGGGATGGCTGGTAAAAACTGCTGTAGTAGGTGGAGTCCACAACCAACTCAGACGTGCTCTCCAAGTGCCCTCTGCTGGGGATGGAAGGGATGTCCTGAATGAGCATCCGTCCCTCTGGAAAAGAAAAAAACCAAGCAATTATGAAAACAGGAGGCTCCATGAAAACGATTACTTTTCACCTTCTGATGAGCTACTGCTTCTCCTAAAGCTTGGACAAAGAGCAGTAAACAGGAAGAAGAGGGAGTTGAAAGCAAAATATGACTGGATGTTTGTTGGAAACTCAAGAGGACTCACAACCACTCAAATCCCAAGGCACACACCGCAGAGTACAAAACAGCAGACAAAACCAACTGCAAGTTAACACAAAGCTCTGAATCCTCAATCAGCACCAGCTGATGGGATAATGATTTATATCATCTAACTTTACAGTACCCTATTATTTTTAACCTGTAACAGAGTGCCAAGTCTCTTTTAACTCCCTGGAAATAGAAAGCCTCTAGCAACAGAATGACCCCTCTCCAGTCAGTGTCCTGAAGGTGAGAGGACACTTTCTGAACATGCCTCAAGGAAGAGCAAATAGCCACAAAACCAAGAGAAACTGAGTAGGGAAAACACCACACAAGTTATATTAGAAACCCACAAGCTTCCTGTGAGCAGTGAGGCCTTCAGTCCTTGCCCAGCCTCCATACCCAAATTTAGCTCCTGTTTACCTACAAACAAGATTCCACACCACTAGCAAAAGAGGAGGAGGAGAAGGGTACACAGAACAAGAAGCGTCTCCAAAGCCACAAAAGACCCTTCATAGTTTTTACACTTCCATATTTTTATAGGTTTTTTATTGCTACTATTCTGCTTCTGGGTGGGGCTCTTCAAATCCTTTTGTCCGCATCTTTGATAAAACCAGAACTCAGAGAACACTCCCACTGAAAAGCCAACAATTCTGGTAAATCACAGCACAAGAATGACTCCTCTCCTCAAACTTAGCTCTTGAATAAAGCTACATGCCATTTGTTCTGTGCTTCATACTGTAGAACAGAAACCAGAAGCAAAATCCTCCAACACAATCACCACAGGGACACAGGTTTCACATGTAACAGAGACATGCAAGCCTGCAGAACTCCTGACAGGGCTATGCTATGCTACACAAATGTGCAATTTCGTCTAAAACCTCTGCAGTGCCTTTCCATTTGCAGTGCATCATTAGAAGTGCTAATACTTTCTATTAACAATACTAACACCAGGAAGATGAGGCCTCTTTACATGATCTGGATGAGAGGATCAAGGTTACCCTCAGTAAGTTTATGGACAACATTAAGTCAGGTGGGAGTGTTGATTTGCACTCTGCAGAGGGATCTGGATGGGCTGGACCAATGGGCCAAGGCCAGTGGTGTGAGGTTCAACAAGGCCAAGTGCCAGGTCCTGCACTTGTGTCACAGCAACGCCAGGCAACACTACAGGCTGGGAGTAGAGTGGCTGGAAAGCTGCCTGGTGGGAAAGGACCTGAAGGTGCTGATTAAACAGCAGCTGAACATAATCCAGCAGTGTGTTCAGGTGGCCAAGGAGGCCAATGCCTGTACCAGGAATACTGTGGCCAGAAGGACGAGGGAAGTGACTGTGCCCCAGTACTCAGCACTTGGTGAGGTTGCACCTTGAGTACTGTGTCCAGTTCTGGGCCATCACTCCAAGAAAAACACTGAGGTGCTGGAGCACGTCCAGAGAAGGCCAGTGGAGGTAGTGAGAAGTAGAAAGTCAGTCCTGTGAAGGGCAGCTGAAGGAGCTGGAGTTGTTTAGCCTGGACAAAAGGGGGCTCGTGGATGACCTTATCACTCTTTGCAACTACCTGAAAGGAGGTTGTAGCAAGGTGGGGGTCAGCCTCTTCTCCCAGGCAACTAGTGACAGGAGAAGAAGAAATGGCCTCAAGGTGTGCCAGAGGTGGTTCAGGTTAGACATCAGGAAGAACTTCTTTATGGAAAGCGTTAAGCACTGGAATGGGCTGCCCAGTGAGGCTGTGCAGTCACGGTCCTTGGTGTGGCACTCAGTGCTATGGCTCACTTGACAATGTGGTTATTGGTCAATGGATGGACTTGATGATCTTAGAGGAGACTCTGTGATACACTGGAAAGGTGAGCCACCCTAGCTGTCAGCGGCTAAAAGGAAAAGGGGAAGAAAGTAGCCTTTCTGTTGTAATTTTTGGAAGGGTCTCAGGCACTACATTTCCTAACATGGGACAAGGCTAGACTGGAAATCTGTCCGTAACTATCCACCAAATCATACAAACATTCCTGATGTCCCTTTGACATTCTAGTGGCTGATAGCACTACAGTTCCTTGCTGAAGAGCATCAATGGCAGTTTTAAATGCTTTTTGCATCTCCTTTTCTCTCTCTACCTCTTATCTGTGGTTTGGGCTACCATCATTTGGCAGCAGAGGTGCAGAGGGGTTGACTCATTTTTCCCTTATGTAGCTGCACAGCAGCCACCACTGGGTTAGTGCTCAGGGCTGTGACAAATCCACCAGAAGGATCTTCTACTTTCCTTCTGCTGCTCCTCCACTCTCCAATCATCTTTACACTACAATCAGCTGCTCACTACAGAACTGGTCTATAGAGCTGGTTCATTCAGCCTCTCATGCAGTCACACATATGCCCACAGGCATCAGCAGTCTGGGACATTTTTCTCTTATAAACACAGAATTATGGAATCCATGGTCCTTGTAATGTCTCTGAGCTGCAGGGTCACACCACAGGGATGTGTCCCAGGAGATTAGGAATAAAAATAGGACCCACAGGAAAATTCAAATGAAGGGACAGAGATATCCAACTTCCTAACAAACTGGGGCTCCTGTGACAACACTGGAAAGATAGTCATTTCCCTAAATCCCAAGACACATCATGCTCCTGAAGATGGAAGGACTGGCAAGATCTGACAAAAAGCAGGAGAAAACTGTGAAGTCCTTCAGCTTAACTTTCCTCCCCAGTTCAGGAGATGAGATTTTCTTTGATGTCATGATTTGGGACTAGCATCTACTTTTCTTATCCAGTAGCATCTGGAGCAGATTTGGTGCTTCACCTGGGAGAAAGGAGACACTTATGAAAGGGAGACACTTCACGACAGACATAACTCTGTGCCATCCTCACCTGAGAAGAAGTCAGGTCAGACAAGGTCAAACCACCCCAACTCTTTATAGACTGGAAGCATCTAGATGAAGAAAAGGATGCCTCTGGAGAGTTGAGGTCTTGCAGGTCTTCAGCAACTCTGGAATGCAATAGCTCAAGGGCAGGCCTGCACTACAACTCTATGCTCTTACCCCATGCAGCCTGGCTGAATCTCCTCCTCCTCCAAGTAACCTCCCACTACTAATGTATACATCATACATATACAATACATACAGAAGACACACAACTATATATACATCAAGGGAAAAGAATTTTGCTATCAATGGGAAAAGCCCTTGAATTTTTTTGAGTAATGAAAGTTCAGAAGAAAAGCAGGTCAGACCAGACAGTACCTATATGCGGTACCTTCAAAGAAATGCTTAGTGACAAAGGGACCAGAACTAAAGGCCAGAGAATCCTGCTAAACTGTCCTAGGGGAAAAACAAGGTGCTCAGAGATCTGTCTAGAGAAGATTTCAGGCTTATGGTATGCCATGGGGATTTTTTCCCTGTCCATTCCAGTTCTTCTCCAGCACACTGCTTCTGAGCTGCACCATCCTCAGGCGCAACCACTGTTTGCAGAATAGAGAGATCCATAGGAACCAATGGCTGTAACTAGTTGGGTTTTCTCTGGTTGGTCATTAGTCTGTACCTGTAATGCTAGACTCCTACCTACAAGCTGAACCTTCCTACAGTGTCAACTCCAGCAGCTCAATGATCAAAGTGTCCTCCTCAAGGCATGCTGTCAGCCTCGGGCTGTGTTTTCTGCCTGCAAGGTGAGAATACCAAGGTTAAGAAAGCAGCTTTTAGCTGGTTGATTTTTTTTTTCCTTCCAAATGTAATTCAACACAGCTGAATTGCTCTGCTGGCAAGGAGAGGATCCTCCCCTGCTATACAGCTTGCTGCACTACAACATCTGCACATGATGGGCAGACCCGACGTTCACTGCTCCAGAGGGAACAACTTCTGGGAAGAATTAAGCTCTCAGACAACCCCTGCTACACTGTCAGGCTCTCATTCTGCCTCTCCACCTGCCCTTTAAAATATGAGGGATGCTGCAGGTACTGGGCTCATGCCTTTGCTGCATTTACGCTCTACATGGAAAAACTGGGAAGGGCTCCTGGGCCTTTCCTCTGCTACTACACACAAATCTGAGTATTGTGCAAGTTGCAAATAGGCAAAAATACTGACCTGAGCCCTTACAAGAAGGTACAGAAATCAGAATCAATAAAAGTCGTTAAAATTATCTCTCAGTTTTTGGAACACCAAATCTACAGCATAGGGCCATCAGAGGCTCTCCATCTGTAAGCAACGCTCTTGCAGTAAGACAACAGTACCCCTTCAGGCAGTTGTGTCCTTGAATCTCTAAGCTCTTCGTTACGTCTTTACTAATTCCTGTAGAGAACTGATGCTACTTTTTTTGCACTATGTACACAGTGTGAAATATGGCCCACTCTTTCATAGAAGATCAATATAATGAACAATAAATACTGTTATTGATCTTGCAGTGTGTAGATGACTCTCCAGCTCTATGGCATATTAATAGTAGTTAACCAGTAATTCATTTCAGGGCAGCTGGTATTTTCTTGTAAAGAAAGTGAGTACTAGGGGTCAGTTACACATACAGGTGTTTTAAATTCAGTAATCCATGATGGGCTTCTGCCTTCACTTAGCAGAGCATAGTGAAAAACAGTGGTCCAGTCCTCAGCTAATGTACACCAGTCTCAGACCATTTACTTCAATAAAGTGATGGCGATTTACACAAATTGCGGATATGCATGGCAAAATCAACGCAGAAGCCAGTATATAGATCATCTGGGAGGAGAAAGCAGAAGTGCCAGGGAACTCACAAGAATTTTTATCATCACTTCTTTCTCACAGTTGCAATAGTGTTTTAAAAGATGTGTACTGAGAAATATCAACACTGAAGTCTGAAGGCTGTATATAAGCACAGAGCACTTT